GTGCCTCCATGACCTAGTTATTGCCCACTATGTCCCAACATACTGGAGATCAAGCAGATGAACCCTTTGGGGAACAAACTCAAACTATATCCAAACCATAGCATTCCCATATGGGGTTTCAGTTTGTTTATGGATTGGGTACGTGAGGTGTTGAGAACTGAGCACAGATCTCCTGTCTTGAGTGGGCACCTGACCGGCCCCTTTTGCCTAGGTGACATTTTGTGGACTTGGATGTGAAGGCAGCTCTCAAGCTGCAGTTGCTTCTTTTCTAGGATGTCCCCTGGAATTAGCCATTGCTGAACTTGGTAACTGAAATGTCTGCCATGTTGTTTTGACATGAACTGCTGGTAGCCAGGTCTCTTTCCTCCTACCTCCCCGCCACATTTGCCTTTTCAGACTCATGCTGGGGTTCTAAGGTCATTTAGAATCCTGATTGTCAGTCTAGACATTTACTATATCTCTTCTCTGTTCACTTTTTCCATAAACCCAAACTTCTCTAATTTCTAGACTTTCATTTACAGATGGAAAAGTATGGAGTCGAACCTAGGAAAATGATCTATAATCACTTGTCGCTGGCCTAAGTCATCTGCCAATTCCACAGCTACTTCCCAGCCCCCAGAGACCACAGGCTTCCAGGTGCTGACTTCAACTCACACTTGCCATGTTCCTTCATCTGGCAGTGGCTGGGCAGTCTCAGTGGGCAGAGTATAGAAAGTAGGTCAGCAGCCTTCCTTTCCCCTGTATTTCTTTCTTTCCAGTTTCCTTTTCACCGTCTGATGTCAAGAACCCTGGCAGTATTGGTTCACTGCTCTATTGTGTTTCCTGAATTGAGAATGGATTAGTTGTTATAATAAATAATAATAATCCTGGGCATTTCTGTTACAATATGCCTTTCAGTGAACTTTCACATTTATTATCCTGTTTCATCTAAAAAGCAGGCATGGAAGCTCAGAGGGATTAGCCCACAGTCAAGAAAAAGTCAATAGTGAGGTGAGGGATTGAACCCTCTTTAATTCTCCATTCAGATCTTAGTGGTTGGAAGAAGCAGGCAATGGGATTCTTTGGCATTTCTGAACAAGTCAGAAGAGAGAAGCAAGATGAAATCTCAAGAGATGGCCTGGGGAGGTAACAACAGGACACCTGGCCTGGTCTCTCCAGGTCCCTTAAAAATTGAAAGCAACAGCACAGTTGTGACATTTGGTTCTGGGATTAAAGTTTCTTAAGAGAAAACTCAATTTCTGAAGCTGTCATCTACCTTGAACAATTTTAAAAAATCTCTGAATCTATACCAGGTTCTCCCCTCCTTGCTCCCCTTTCCAATCCAACTAAAAAAATGTGAGTGGGTTGAAAAAGAACAGAAAAGAAAGATCAAAACTGTGACAACCCTCTGACAACATTTTAACTTGAAAATTGCCTCCAAATGGATGGCATAATTCTGTGTAGGCAGATGTAAATCAGGCACAGATTTACTCAAAACCTCCTCATTCTTATTTCCTAACCAATAACTTGAAGAGACAGGGCCACAGAGCTGACCACAGGTGGCCTTGGAAAGGCCAACTTAACCTGGTCCCCTTGGTGAAGGCCACCTGAATGTCCAGTGGATGTAACCTTTTCCTTTTCTGAACTTTCAAACTTGTGTCCCTGTCATGTTCCTCACCAAACCACATCTTGCTTATTTTCCTAAGTCAGTTTTTGGCTCCTTCTGCATACCCCTATCCCAAGGCTTAGCATGAATCAGCAGGTGCTCATTAGGTAGTTGGGAAAGGAACCTACAGAAGACAATCAGGGAACCAGGCTCAGGCCTTAATCAGCCCTCTGTAGGGCTTTTCTGATCATTAAGTGTTGGTCCAGATAGCTAATTCTGCAGAATCTCTCCAAAACCTCAAAGACACTTGTTTGGACAAGGCAAAGAAATGTGGATGGTTCCATTCAAGTCCTTCTCTCTGGCAGAAAAAAAAAAATCCCTTCCTCAGAGGACTTTGGGTCAGATGTACCTGTCACCTGCCCAGCCTCCAGCTCACTCCCCTACCTGGCCTCTCTGCACCAGACCCTCTCTAAGACTGATAGGGGGAGGGTGGAGCCGGCTGAGCTGAACTTCCTTCTCTGGAGAAAGAAAGGGRGGAGCCAGAGCATCTAAAAAAGTACTTCCCACACCTAGGCTTTAATTTCTGTGTCCGTCCCTCTCCTTTGAGTCTGTGTGAGTCATTCCACGTCCTCCTGTACCCTCCCCTGGCTCTGCAGACTGACAGGGGCTATCTTCAAGAGTGACAGTTATTGCTAACGATGAGTGACAGCAGCAGGGAGGGCCACCTGGACAGAAAAGGGACCGGTGTAGAGAGGGGGAAGAGTTGGTGACCTTACAACTTTATAGAGCAGATCAGGGCCAGGAAAGGGAACCTCTCACCTCACAGCACACTGGGTCTCCCCAAGTTCTGTCACCTCTAAGGTAACCTCCTATCAGCAGAGGATGGCAGCACTCATCCAGCTGGGAGCTCAGGGACAGGGACCCACWAAGCTAAGAGCTATAGCAGTGGCTTGGCCAGAGGACTCCACAGTATGACAGGACAGGAGTGGCATTCTCTGCAGGTTGCTATCCTGACCTATGTTTCTGTGGCTCCAGGAACAGGGCAGGCTGCAGTCTAATTCTCTGAGCAGTTGCCTTCCAAGAGCCTCTGGCTTCTTGTGTCCCCACTATAGTTGAAAAGAAGGCCAGCTTCCCATTTCTGCTTTACCAATCCAGCGGGCATCAGCAGCTCATTCCCTGGAGGCCCCTCATCTCTGTCCTGCTATGGTTGATCATTCCATGGTCATCCAATGTGGCTCAACTCAGCTGCCCAAGAAAGGAGGGACCTTGATTCAAATGGATGAGGAAGGGCTTCAGGAGGTGGTTAATGAAGGAGCCGAAGAGGGGCTCCAGAGAGCCTGTCTCAGTGGGGCCAAGACATAGCCTGATCAGGCCTCTGTTCAGGCCTCTGTTCTCAGGCCTCCCTGTGACCCTGACCACACCTGCCCAAGAGAGGGATTGGGGCCACAAAGGATATGGATCTCTGATAAGGTCTGCATGCTTAGGACGGGCCTGAATGGAGCATTTTGTCCACTTAAAGCTCTTTGGGAACAGCAAGGAGAGGGCAGAGGGCCTTGAACAGAGCTGCAGGGCCCTTGTAGGCTAGCCCAGGGTAAGAGCAGACCTGCATCTGTACCCCATGGGCTGGACATCTGCTTGTGTCCTTTATCCATCTTTATGCTTCTCCCATGCTGCTGCTGTGGGCACTCCTGTTGAGCTGTTGGTGTGTATGCACGCCTGTATCCTCTCTAGGATCAAAGGAATGGTGCATGCACTAAAGGTCTGCTCACAGTAGGAGCCCATGCAGCCTGGGTGTGGAGATGGGACACTGAGCCCTTTGGGAACCTGAGGAGGCCTGAGCTTTGGAGTTGGGCTGAGCAGGCCCTGAGAGGACTTGAGGCATACCTATATCAGAAGCCTTTTCTAAGCCCTGACCCTCCTCACCCAAAGCCTGTATCTGTGTAGCCCAGCACCTCAGTTCCCAAGAGACCTCTTTCTTCCCTGCTTTTGTGGTTCTCTTTCTGGCCTCTTGTGGACAGGAGTGGACTCCACATTGATATCAGTGCTTCTTAACCCTAGCTGTCCATAAGATTCCCCCAGGGAAAAACTGTGCTTGCATCCCCCTGGACCCTTCAATCCAGAGTCTCTGGCAATGGGCTCAGGCTTTGGTACTGCTTAGAGCTTCCTACGTGGTTTGTACAGCCACTCAAAGAGGATCTTTGATAGAACAGTGAAAGATAGCTAAAAAACTTGGGCTGGGGTTGTAGCTCAGTGGCAGAGTGCTTGCCTAGCATGTGTGAGGCGCTGAGTTCAATTTTCAACACCGTGTATCAATAAATAAAATAAAGATCCATTGACAACTAAAAAATATTTTTAAAAGCTTATGTATGCATTGATGTTGTAAAAGTATACAGACAGACACAGGAAGCAAGGTAATAATATCAGGAAGGGTCAGATCCATCGACTGTAGTTATAACGTTCCATTTCTTAAGCAGAGTGGTGGGGACATATTATTTCAGGCTTTTTGGTTTGATTGAAATAGTTCATCATCAATTAATGAAAAAAAAAAAAAGATCATGGGTTTTAAGTTCAGTTTTGCCACTTACTAGCTATGTGACCTGTGGCAAGAACTCGACCTGAGATTGTTAATCATCTGTAAAATGGGGCTCCTAATATTACCCATGAAGTTCTAACACTTCTTTCCTGAGTCCCAGCCTCAGTGAGGTCAAACTGGCCCTCAGAGCTCTTCAGGAAACAATCACAGCTCCCCGCCAACCACAGGCAGACTTGATCATTACAGGAGGACAGCATTGCCCCTTTAGGCAGGGAGCCCCAGAAGCCAGCCTGGGAGTCAGACCTTAGGGTTTCCTTAGAAGGAGAAGGCAATTTAGTTGTAGCCAGATCTGTTCTATTCAGATACTCTGTGGCCTCTCAACTGAGGAGTGGAGCAGGGGTTGGGAGTCGGGGACATGGCTCTGAGAAGATAACAGAGATTTTCCTCCCAGGGTGTTAGGAAGTTGACAAGGAAGGGAGAAACCAGGTCCCTCACCATGAATGCCTAGGGCTGGAGGGGTCATTGACCCTAGGAAAGAAGCAGTTGGGCAAAGAGCCCCTCCTCCTACACTGCCTGCAGGGAATGAGGAGGACTTTTAYAGGAATGCAAGTCTGGGAGCCCCTATGGACATTTAGATTCTGGGGCAATCCGGCACTCTGTCACTTGGGAGGCCCTGAGGGCAGGCGGTGTATCTTCTGTCTGTCTGCACATACACACACACTCTCTCACACATAATCACCACACCCATATGTGTTTACCAGGCCTGGCTATGGAGCGGGGAAAGGAACTCAGACACCATTTTCATTGGACAAGCTTAAAACACAATGTGGCTCATTTTTATTTTATCTCAGAAAAAAAAAAAAAAAAAAAAAAAACTTCCCTTTAGAAGTAAAGGCAGTTAGACAGGGCCTCTAATTGGGCAGCTCTGAGCTGCCCTGGCACAAGGCCTTGCCTTGGCCTGCAAGCCCTGACCTCTCCCCTGGGGCCTGAGTCTATGCCCTGGCACTGTTCCCGTTACAACTGTCTGTCCTCCAGCCTACCTTTGTCACCTCAAGAGTTGGCCCTGGGACTAAGTGCATGGCAGTTTGTGGCAGCAGGAGAGGGCTGCCCAACTCCCTGGGCAAACTCCTGGTGCCAGGTTAGCAGCAGGATGGACAACAGGCCTAGAAGCCAGGGAGGGAAAGATAATAAAATAGGATTTCCTTGCACAAGATCTTCTGCGGGGGGGAGTTAACTTCCACCTCTGGTCCAGCAGCTCCCGGAGCCCTAGAAAGTCTGCCAAGGGTGGTGTGTGGCAGGAGGTCTGTTGAAGGCATTCCCCAGCCTCAGGTCACAGCTTCTCTGCAGACAAATTGGGGCTTTTAGATACTTCATGGAGTGGGGGACTGGGCCCTGCCCAGCCAAGATGCTGTTGGTGCTGTGGCCCTGGCCTCGGACAGGGCCTGACAGCATGAAACATCTGCTTCCTTGGACCCTAACCCCTTTTTGCTGGGACTCATGCTGCTCCAGCTTGGGGCTCCCTCCTCTCAGTCCAAAGTGAATCAGACGCCCGATGGGTCTCCCAGCACACTCATTCTTCTCTTCTCCCAATGTGACTGGTCCAGCCAACCAGAAAGATTAAGATTTCCTTCTCTCAGGAAGGGGCAAACTCCATGCACCATCAGGACACTCCTGCTCCGCCCTGGGCCAGGGGGTCCTCTAGGCCAGGGGACTCTGGGCATGCTCCCTTGTGCTCACGGCTAAGGAGCTCCACATCTGCGAGGCTGGTATCCCCGTGGAACCCTTTGGCATTCCCTCCACTCACCAGCCCCAAGGCATAACCATTGGGCCGCCGCTCAGGATGGGGTGCGCTGCCATTTGCCCACACCCCTGGGGGGTGGCCATTGAGGCGGAGGCTAACCTGCTCTCCCTCTGTGCTATGAGCTGCCAAGGCCCGGGCACTGGAGCCCCCTGCCTTGAAGGGTTCCCGCTGCCTCAAGACATGGCTGCGAATGATCTTGCGGAAGGTCTGGCGGAACTCGCGGATGCGGTAGGCATAGATGAAAGGATTAACAACAGAATTACTGTGGGAGAGGACAATAGCCAGGTACATAAGCCAGGGAGGGGCATGGCTGCATTGGGGGCAGAAAAAGGTAAAGCAGTTGATAATGTGCAGGGGCAGCCAGCAGAGGGCGAAGAGACCCACAATGATGGCCAGTGACTTGGCAGCATGGACTTCCTTCTGCAGTGTGGACCGAGCCCGCTCCCCTGGCAGGGGCTGACTCTCCATCTGCTTCAGCTGTCGCCGGGCCGCCAGGAAGATTCGCAAGTAGATGCCCAGCATGAGCAGCAGGGGCACCAGCACAAAAGCGAAGAAGTTGTAGTATACCATGTAGTTCATGGGCACCACATCCTCAAAGAGACAGGTCACCTGGCCCTCGCCGCAGTCCTGAGAGTGATTCTTGCCCTCCTTTGGCTGATTGCAGTTGTTCCAGCCCAGCATGGGCGTCAGGCCRATTACAAATGACAGCACCCAGCAGATTGCAATGATGCCCTTGGCCCTCATGCCAGTCACCAAGCCATTGTACCTGGAGAAAGGAGATCAGGGTCAGAGGTCTGAGAAACCAGGGCTAGATAGGGCTAAGAGTCAAGAAACCCAGAAAGGCACCCTGCTTGGTCTCCCACGCCACTGCTTTCTGGCCAGCTGTAAGGCCTTGGACCAATTGCTTCCTGCCTCCTAGTCTTAGTATCCTCTTCTGTTAAGTGAGATCCATTGGGTCTTGCCTTTTGTGAGCTGCTAGGAGGTCATGAAAGAGCAGACACAGTGGAAACAGAAACCACTGTATAAAAGTTCATGATTATTAGTCTTAGGCATAATTCTGAGACTTAAATTGAGTTTGGTTTGAGGAAATTAATAAGTGATTTGTGGGGGAGGGGAAGAAGCAGCACTTCCATATTGGTTGATCTTGGTTCAAGGGACGACACACTTCCCTTTCCAGTGGGATGGGTCTGGAAGGTGGGCCCACTGAGGGCAGAACCAGCCAGACGAGGCCTAAAGATGCTCTAAGCATCTTGTACTCCATTGTTCTTTCTTCACCATTTGACTTGGGTCTCCAGAGGCCCCCCACATGAGACTGCCCAAGATAGTTAGGAAGAATGGGGGTCTCAAGCCAAATGAGACACCATCTCCCATCCAAATCCACCTACCACCCTCTGGAGAGAAATGAGATAGTGTCTTCACATTTACATGGCAATCTTAATATCCTGGAGGAAATGTGTGTATGAAGTACTGAGGTCCAGAGAAGGACAGTAATCTCTGTAAAGTTACTCAGTGTTCCTAAGAGCCAGACAGATATCCAAGCCTGCTCATTCCCAGTCCCAGAATCGGGGAATGGCTTGATTTACTGCCAGGAAAGAGACCCCTATCCCACAGGAAAGGTAGCAGCAATTTACCTATCAAATGTATACTCAAAATTTAAAAAATCCTCACTGATTGAGAAAGGCAACCTTAGTGACCTCTGAGGGTTGACCTTCTGCTTAGCAATTTTGATTCTGGCAAAACCAGACAACCCTCCCTTCCCCTCTGTCTGGTGGAAGCCCTATCCATCAAGTTCAGACTAGGTATCTTCTCCAAGAAGCTTCCTGCCTCATCTGGACTTCCGAAGCTGGGATACCCCTGGAGACAGTGCTGTCCTGCATCCTGATCTGTATTGCCTCTCTGGCATGGGAGCACAGAGTAGATGCCAAGGAAAATACGCTCTATTTAATTCCAGAGTTGGAAACGTATGCAGAAAGGTTGTAGCTCATGGGTGGCAAACATAGGTGCCTCTAGATAATAAACCATCAAGGCAGGCTGGTGGGCATTTACACTGTCTCTGCTGCCATATAAAATGTGTTAGAAGGCTTGCCTGGCATGTGGGAGGCCTTGGGTTCAATCCCTAGCACAATAACAACATGTGCACCCAGTGTGGTCAGAGCTGAAGAGGGGCAGGAAAGCTGATACTCTGGGCAGATGCTCCCAACTTTTAATTTTTGCTAAATTCAAATTAAGAAAAATCAAAACCCCAAAATTAGTGGCTCCTGATCTCTTATCTAGTCCAACCCCCTTATTTCACAGGTGGGGAAACTGAGTTCCAAAGAAGGGAATGGACTTGCCCTAGACATTGCAGAGGCCCAGAGGCAACTCAGGCCCAAGTATGTTTGTCAGTTCTGAATGTTTTATGGCAATTCTCTTTTTTTAAAATATTTATTCATAATACCTTTATTTCACTCATTTATTTTTTTTTATGTGGTGCTGAGGATCGAACCCAGGGTCCCGCGCGTGCAAGACGAACACTCTACTGCTGAGCCACAACCCCAGCCCCTATGGCAATTCTCTTATTCTGTACTTTTGGAGGTGCTGGGAATTGAATCCAGGATCCTGTGTATGCAGACAAGTGCTCTACTGCTAAGCTACCCCCTCCCCCAGCCCTGTCCATTCAGAATCCAAAACAGGCGTGCCAACAGGCCTCTGTAGGATTAGGGTCACGATTTGATCATTTCTGCCAAGCAACAGAGCCGGCACTCCTTGTCTCCTGTTCCAGAAACTCATACACAAAAGTTATATACCCCCCAACTAATACTCACATAGCACTTCCTCTGTGCCAGGCTCTGTACTTTACATTACTATTTCATATAACCTCACTGAATGGGAGGCTACATTAATGACGATATTGTTCCTGAGAGAAGTACATCTCTCCCTGGGTTCTAGCCTTGGTACATTCCTGTAAATAAGCAATGTTGTGTCACTTTGCCTTTCTGAGCCTCAGTTTCCTCATTTGTGAAATAGAACTACAAATCTGGACTTGTTCAGCACTGCTTCCATAAGGGCAAAATGCTGAATCAGTGAGTGGAAAATCCAAGAAGGCCAACTGTAGCTTGGGGTAGGTCCAAGCCTGTGAGCTGAGCCGTTCATAGGAGAAATGGGCTGCCTTGGGCAGTAGTGAGCTTCTTGTCATTTGAGGCAATCAAGTAGACACAAGCTATTATAGGGATTGTGTAGGATCTCCTAGACCCTGGTGGCCACTTGCTCTAATGGTTTTTAAAGCTCTTCTCCAGCAGTGGACCTTCATATCTACATTTCTGGGCACTTAGGGGAGTGGAATTGCTGGGGAAGAGAGGGGCTTTATAAGTATTTATTGAATTAATTAATGGGGACATCAGGGCTGAGCCTGAGAGCTCTTGAGAACACAGCATGGAAATCCCTGGTCTATCCAGTTGCGTACTTTTACAGATAAGGGAACCCACAAGGGTTCTTCCACTGCTCTCTGAAAGAAAGCCCCTTGTGGGGACAGAAACAAAACATGTATGAGTGGTACTCATAGGTGAAGAATGTCTCTGGAAGGATACTCACCAAGGTCTTCTGGTGTCAGGGAGCAAGGGGACAACTTTTCACTATATACTTCTTATTCTTTTTTAATGTTTGAGCACATGCAAAGATTATTTATTTTTAAAAAACACACACCAAATAGGGCTGGGGTGGTAGCTCAGTGGTACAGAATATGATTAACATAGGTAAGGCCCTAGGATGGGCCCCTGGCACTGCCAAAACAAAAACCAAACAACCAACAACAAAAATCCACAACACCAAATAGATTAATTTTGTTGTCCAAAAGTACGCCCCATAAGCTAAGTCCTGAAGCCAGGCATCTGGGGGCCTGGGACAGGATGAGGGTTCAAATGGAATCATGAATGCTCTATGGTCATGCCCAGCAGCATCCCCTGGGCTGCATCTGTAACTAACACAGTCATATCTCAGCCTTCTGGACCCCAGATATAGACTGTTCAGCTGCCCAGTACAACATACAGCCATTCCAGGAAGCCCACAAGAGTCATAGGATGCAGGTGCCAGAAACACTGGCAGCCCTCCTTTTCAGGTGCCCTCTGCATTCCTGTGTCTACCAGCCTGTAGGATGCCCCTCCTGGGGATCATGATCACCCATGTTAGGGGCTTACCCTTTAATCTAAGAACATACTCCATGATTCCAGGTGGAGTTTTATGCACATTTGCACCACATTGAGAAGGTGGATCTTTCTTAAGGTATCCAAAGGGGTCAGTGATTCAAGAATTGAAGAGCCTTTGACTCCAGGGGAAACCCAAACTCCTTCTCTGTCATGAACAGGCCCGAATCAGCCTCACACCTTGCCTTCCCCCTCAGCTCATCTCCTTCCATCACTCAGCATCAAGGTCACCTCTTCCTGGTCCAGAGTCCACATGCTTATTCATTCTTAGGGTCTCTGACCAGGCTTTGCCCTCCTCCTGGTACACCTACCCCCAAACACATGCATTGAGCCCCTAAGCATCCTACAAGACCCACTGGGCAACACTTCTTCCGGGAACCCTCCCTCCCAATCCTGCCTCTTTATTATTATTCTGTGTATGGTGCTAGGGATCTTGCACATTCTAAGCATGTGCTCTGCCACTGAGCTACACCCACAGCACTCTTGCCCCTTTCGAAGTCAGGGCAACTCACTACTATAGGACTTTAGGCCTTGGCATCAATCCCCAACCTGTATTTTGGCCTGTTCCTCAGGAGTGAGAGTACCCACCAAGAGACTATAGTGTAAAAGTCCCCTGAGAAGGGAAACCTGCATCTTTGACCCTGGGATTTCTATCCTTTGTGGACACTGAGAGCTGTACCTCTACCTCGTGCCCAGCTTCTTTCTCACTGACTAGGCCCTGCCTTACCCCAAAAGTGTCTCTACAATTAGGAGGAGATAATTTGTTCTGAAGCTGAATTTTTTTGGGGGTGGGGGTATACTATGGATTGGACCAGGGGTGCTTAACCATTGAGCCACATCCCCAGCCCTTTTATTATATTTTATTAGAGACAGGGTCTCACTGAGTTGCTTATGGCCTCGCTAAGTTGCTGAGACTGGCTTTGAACTTGTGATCCTTCTGCCTCAGCCTCCTGAGCTGCTGGGATTACAGGCGTGAACCACTTTACCTGGCTGAAACTGAATTCTTTAAAACAAGAAAAATGCCAACTACTTGGGAAATTGAGGCCAGCCTGGATAACTTAGTGAGATACTATCTTTTTATAGATTTATTTTATTCATTTATTTTATGTGGTGCTGAGGTTTAAACCCAGGGCCTCACAGGTTCTAGGCAAGTGCTCTACCACTGAGCCACAACCCAGCCCGTGAAATACTATATCTTAAAGTACAAAATAAAGAGGAGGGCTGGGGATGCAGCTCAGAGGTAGAGTACCCCTAGATTTAATCCTCAGGGCAAGGTGTGGGCCTGAGGCTAGGCATCTGTCAGGGACTAGACCTCAGAGAAGCCCTGTGAACCTTGCTGAGTGGAGCAGCAAATGGCATAGACAAGGCTGGATTCCCAGCTGTGAAGGCAACAAAAGAGGAAGGGGGAGACTAAGACAGGCCGTCCCTCCAGGACCAGCCAAGAGCTCCTGGTATTCAGTTGCCTCCATCCAGTTTCCCCTCATATCCTGTTTGCTCTCAGAAGCCATTAGCCCTCCATGCACCCAGTTGCCAGGGGCCTCCAAGAATAGGAAAGTGAAGGGACCCAAGGGCCAGGATCAGTGTGAAGGAYACTAGAGTCCTTCTACATCAGAAGACGCACATATGTCTTTCCCTGGCTCTGGCCTCACCATGAGTAATGTGAAGGTCGTAACTTCCACCCAGCCACAATGCTGGGCTGAAAAGGAATAAAGGAGATGCTCTGACAGTGGTCAAACTCTGCCCCGGGACAGGATGACATCCTCATCATCCCCGCTGACTCCCTGCAGAGGAGAACCAGCCTGAGCCTTCTCAACGCTCAAATGGTTTTTAATCCAACCGAGCACAACTGCTCTGAGGTAGGGGTGAAACTGAAATCCAGCTCTAGGAGGTCCTGGGAGTCAGGGAAGCTGACTGGACCGGAGCAGATGCATGGCTCCAAACCTCCAGCAGCTCAAGAAAGAGCTGAATCCCTTGTCACTTCCACCCACCCACTGGACCCCTGCACCTTTGTCCCCTATTACAGATGAGGAAACAGGCCCAGAGGAAGGCATCTGACTTTCCAAAGCCACATGGTATGTTCCATCCTACTATTTCTTTTGACTCTCAGAAAATAGAGATGGGAAGAAAGACACCAAGGTGGGAAAAACCCTAAGGTTTTTAAATTGAGAACAGCCCTCCTGATCTCTCCCTGGAATGTCGTTGCCCTCTGAATCAGAGAAGAAACTGAAAGCTAGTCTACTGCTTCCCCTGAGCACTCATGCTACCACTGCCTGCACGCAGCCTGGCTCCCTGAGATGGACTCCGGTCCTCTCTTTTCTGGCTCACTTGGTACCCACAAACAGGTTTCTCTGGGGCTTCCCTATTCTGAGCTGTCCTTAGACAGCTGCCCTTCCCCCTGGAACAAGGGATAGGAGCTTATCCCACAGACTGTGCCTAGAGTCAGACCACCTCTAACTCAGTTCCCTTTTTAAGGTGGGCCAGGATCCTCTTCTCCTTTGAGAAGTCCTTGGACAAGGGCCTTAGAGTTCCACTCCTTCTTTTGGGGCAGCCTGATATGGGTGCTTTCTTCCCTCTTAGGGCTCAAGTTACAGCAGTGGCTACTGGGTACAGCTTCTGGGAGACTGAGCTGCCTGTGACCACTCCCCAAAGACATGTCACAGTAGCGGCAGGCTATGTTTTTTTYCCCAGGCCTAGTCTTAGTTCTGCTACCAACTTTTTGTGTGGTCCTTTTTCAGAGCCTCATTTTTCCATTCAGATGAAGAGAGGAAGGAAATGACCTTTAAGGGTCCTCTTGGGTTTCACACTCTGAATTTCCATTTGTTCACTCAGCCTGTTCGTCCTCCCTGCTGGGGTACCCTCAGCCCAGAATAGGGAAACGGGGGCTTCCTCAGTTGGTGGGCACTCTACCCGTTTGGGAGATTTTACCATGGGGACAAGTGTACACAGATTCCCAATCATGGAGACCTCCCTCAGGTCCTGCAGCCACCCTGGCTATGGAACCCAGCTCTACGGTGGAGGAGCAAGAAGGTGGAGGAACAGGACCCTGCGTTCCCCAGAGGAGGGACACACATTCTTGCTCTCTATGCTCTAGGTAGGTGAAGTCTACACAAGTAAACTCAGCCTGGGGGAAAGTCTTCGTTTACACAATACTTTGCTGAAGTCACTTTGCAAAAGATTCACCATAAAAATCCCCCTCCCACAGCCACCCCCTGAGTGCATGGGAGTCCTTGGTGACCTGAAGAGCAACATAATTTGCATATAAGTCCAAATGACTCACTGTGGCATTCAGCCAAGTCACTTCCCCTCTCTGGGTCATTCTCCTAATATGCACACTGTGAGGCCAGCCAAGAAGAACTGAGGAAAGGCAATCAGTGGGTGGGTCCTAGCTGAGGTTCTATGGTTTTCCATGGTTCCCCACCCACTCCAGCATCATGCAGGGAGTTTTGCTCTGTTCTGTGAAGAATGGCCCAGGCGTAGCCAAGTGTGGTGTGGGTCCAAGCCACACTCATCTGCCAGCAGCCAAACATGGCTGGCTGCACACAGCCTCAACCATGGGGGGAAAGCCAGATTGGCATACTGGCTGCTCACCCACCAGCCCTGGGCAGCCACAGGCTAAGGCCATAGCCCAGACGCTGGGCAGAGCCAGCCTTTGTACAGACAAACCCCTGGTCCCCAGCTCACCGAAGTGGGATGCGAATGGCGATGTAGCGGTCAATGGCAATGGCCAGAAGGCTGAAGATAGAGCTCTGTGTGAGGACCAGGAGGAAGCAGGCGAAGAAGAGGCAGCCATGGCAAGCAGCGCAGAACCCAGTGCTGATGGTGATGGCAAATGGGATGGCGAGTACACCAACTGCGATGTCAGCTGCCGCCAGCGATACCACAAAGAAGTTGGTGACGTTCTGCAGGTTGCTGTTGATCCACACGGCCCAGCAGACCAGCACGTTGCCCAGGACAGCCAGCATAGCAATGGCCAGCTCCACTGTGATGTATACTGAGGAGCCCATGGTGGGAGCGGCTGCAGACGGGCAGGCTCAGCAAGGACACGGGCTGGGCCAGCTCACGGTCCATAGCTGCAGCCCAGCCGTCTGCTGCCCAGGCAGAAGGGCCTAGGCCCCAGAGCCTCTTCCTTACAGGATCCAAGAGCGTCCCTGTGGTGGGGGGGGTGCTCTCCAAAGGTTTTCTCACAGATAACTCCAAGTCTTCTCACACCAGGCCCTCTCCAGGGGTTCCAACGGCTGTGTCATGGCTCAGTTCGGCTCCAGGGTTCCCAAAGTACCTGCAAAGAAAGTCTGGTAAGCAGCTGGACCACTCTGACCCCTGCTGTTTCAGATTCTGCTCCACCAGTGGGCAAGGTGTCAGCACAAGAATGACCCCCATGCCCTGTCCAGCCAGCTATGATCACAGGCAGGAGGCAGGAGAGTTGGGATTCTGGCCTCCATTTCTGGGAAGGATACAGACCCAGAAAGGTCACTGAGCAAAACTACTTTTCCTTGGTCCTGGGAAATTCTTGCCAGGACCCTCATGCAAACCCCTCCCGGGGAAGCATTCTCTTCTCTCAGACTCTGCAGGACAGACACAGAAGGGAAGAACCATAGCTGCACCCCCTGCCAGGACTCTGGCTCACCCCTCTGCACTATCCAAGGCTGCATTTCAGGTGCTGAGGTCATGGCTCTTCCAGGCCGGACTCAGGGCTAAAGATCAATCCACTTTTTTGTTGTTGTTGTTGTCCCCCCTCCCAGGAGCTAAGAATCTATCAAAAAGTTAAGTCTCTAATGTTGCTCCCTATGCTCAGCTTCTCAAGCCTTCTCTGGCAGCCTGGCCAGTCTCCTGGGTCTCTGCACTCACTGCCAGCTCCACAACCCTCCCTCTTTCCCAGAAAGGTCCTTCTCCCCCATTGGGCTCTCTCAAGCCCACCCACCCTCTCTCGCAGGACTGACTTTTCAGCCTGCCTCAGCTGGCTCCATCTCCAGCAAGCTCTCCAGGGAACTACCAGTGCCCACCTAAGGGATACCAGCTGCCCCATCGAGGGACAGAGACTCCTGGAGTCCAGAGCTGGAGGGATCTGAGGAGCTGTCTGGTCCTGTCTTCTACTGTTGGCAGTTAAGTCCCCGCACCCTCATAGGTAGCACAGCAAGCACAAACCTGAACCTGCTGCCTCCTGGTGTCCCTGAGAGCAGGCTGCACATCTGGGTGGGGCAGGCGCTGAGGCTGCTTCCCTTCTCTGAGGGATCCGCCTCCCTTTTCTCCTCCCACACTTCCCCCCCCCACCTGCTTCTCTGCCTGACTGACACAGGGAATGACAGACTTAAATCACTCCTGCTGGGGGACCATAGGCAAGAATGTGTTTTTCTCCAAGCATGGTGGTTGCACACCTGTAATCCCAGCCGCTCCTACAAGGATAAGGCAGGAGAATCCCAAATTCAAAACCAGCCTCGGCAACCAGTGAGAGACCCTGTCTCAAAAAATAAAAAAGAGATCTGGGGCTGGGGCTCAGGTTCAGAGCGCTTGCCTAACATGTGTGAGGCACTGGGTTCAATTCTCCGCACCGCATAAAAAATAAATGAATAAAATATAGGTTCATCAACATCTAAAAAAAATTTAAAAATAAAATAAAAAAAGAGGTGGGGATATTGCTCAGTGATTAAGCATCATTCAGGTTAATTACTGGTACCAGAAAAAAAAAAAAAAGAATGGTTTTCCTTTCTGGGCCTCAGGCTCCCCACTCATATAGTGAAGCAGCTGGACCCCAGATGACCTCTAGGTGCCACTGCAGCTCTTGCCCAGGAATCTATCAGAAGGAAATAAACAACAGATTTGAAAGTGCTCCCCCAAAGTCAAAATGTCATAGAAACACAGGAATAGTTGACATCCCTGGAGAGTCAACATCTTGGTCTCCCTAGCAGGCCTGAGCCCAGTCCAAACTCCAGCTGTTCCTCCCTGACCTTGTGAAGTAGTCTCAGTCCAAGTGGACCTCTGCCACTAAAGTGACTCTCTCTGAGAGCGATAGGCTCCCAAATCTACTTCCTTCAGTCCTAAATTCTCTACGTCCCAGGGGTGCATAGCAGCAGCTACCATCTGCCTGGGACAAGAGGCCAGAGACTGCCTTTTGGCTTCCTGCACATGGTCCATCTTCCCTCATTTCCTCAAGGATATGAGGGATTGAACAGGTCTGGAGACCCTGGAAAAAGGTCACTCTGGTCCCAGGTCCATTTCAAAGGGCTGCCTCACCCCCAAATTGGCCAGGAGGCAATAGAGGACTGAAACAAATGAATCCTAAGTTTCCTTCTAAATGTAATGACGTCACTGCCTCAGACTGGCATTGGCACAGGCACAGTCTAAAGCCACATTTGGAAGGGGCATGGTTCCTATACCAAACAGACCCTTCTATCCCACCAGGAGGCTTGGAATGGACCATATGACACAGAAGAGTCTGGAAACTGGAGGATAAAAAGGCCAAAGACGCCACAGAAACGGAGGGTCTCAGGCAGTGTGTAGTAGAGGGCTGAGTCTTACTGAGCTTGCACTCTTCACAGGGCGCTTGCCAACCGCCGTTTACAAAGTGTGTCCCTGGCAAATCAAGCCTCTAGGCACCGTCTCTCACCACATACCATGTCCCTCTGTGCTCCTGGCCTGAAATTCACAGTAGTATTTATCGGGAGCACACCTGACCCCCAACAGACCTAGATCCAACAGGTGCTAGGGAAGCTGCTGCCAGTTCAGGGGCTGCCTCCCACCCACGTCCAGTGTGACCTCCCAGGCCCAGGAACAGCAGCAGCAGGTCATTAGCCAATCAGGCTCAGCCAAGCCAGCAAGCCTATGAGGAGCCACTGGTATCTATAGAGATCCTACTCCTGCCACTGGTGCCTCCTAGAGGAAGAGGATAACCAGCTCATGCCTCAGGGGCCTTCTGAAGGGGAATCTACTGAAGGATGCCACCGCCTCCTACCAATCTGACCAACCAAGGCTGGAAGACTGGCATGGTCCTTGACCATTCTTCAGATTCCAGGGCCCCACCAGGGGCAGACAAGGGCTCCCCAGCCTATCATCCAGAGCTTCACTGACATGTCACATCACCAGTGCCTGAACTGTGGACCATATTGACTCCACTCCAGCCAGAATGCCTGGCTTGGAAGGGGCCTGACCCAGAACTCTGGTGAGACTCTCATGGCAGCCCTGGATATATGCCTGAATTCTCAGGGTCTCTTCTGTGTGAGGTCCCCATGCTGAACAGCATCAGAAGTGGTACCCTTCCTGATTATTCTAAAGTTACATTCCTTTTGTCCAAAGCTCAGGGAATGCACTTGACTCTTCTGCCCAGGCCAACCTTAAGTGAGGCTAAAGGTACATCTTGGGCTCCTGCCAGCATGACCAGCATAGGCTCCCTTGTGCATGGCCTGCTGCCCTTCTGCCCCTTTCCTCAAAGGAGCAGGTAGCCTTCCTGCAGGTTCCTCCTGCTGCCACCACCAGCACATCCCTGGTGAGGCTTCTCTGGTCCCCCAGAGAAGTGCATCTGCTAAATTAGAATCCACTCTGGGCTGTTTCTTCCCCAGCCCTGAGTTCGGCAGATCAGTAGAACCAGAGGCATTCCCAGGACAGGGGGCAGGGAGGAGATTGGGAGCCACGTGCTACTGGGAGAACTCTGGGGGGATGATTGGGGTTTGCCCAGCTATACGAGTCAGGAGTGCCCTGACTCATAGCCTTTTTCTGTGGTGTAAATGCTCTTACTAGGGCCAATTTCAAACTACTATTAGGTCACTAACCAGAATAGGGAAGCCATACATACAGCTGGTCACCAGGTGCCAGGCACTACTGAGCCACCAAACCCTGTGCTTTCTGGCTAGGCTACTTGCCAGGACCCTATGCTGGACCCTCTCAAAGAGCTTGTACAGCCTTCCTGGGAGCTTGGAAAATGATGGACATCTGTGTTCTCACCAACCCCACAAACCCCATTTTACAGATAGGACACTAAGGCCCAAAGAGATAAAATGACCTCTCAGCCTTCCCAAGAGCATTAAAAGGTGGCTTAGGACGGGGAAGAATGCCACGGAACACAGCAGCTGGAAGATTTCCTGGGCCCTTTGGCTTCCCTCCCTTCTGAAGCCTCCCAGAGCTACAGGAAGGTGGAAGGTCATGGGGAAGGGGTCAGGGTGGGCCAGGATCTGGCAATTTCCCATCCCTCTCTGTTGGTCCTATCTAACTAATCCTTGAGTCATCTGTTGCTAGCCAGGGGGGAAATTAAATATTAATAATGTCATATTTCCTCATGATTATCCCTTGTTGGGATGGGGCAGAGGGCAGACATGGTCCCCAAAAAACTACAGACACATGCTTGATTAGCTTTTAAAGGATACCCTTGAAAGAGCTAGGGATATAGCTCAGTGGTAGAGCGCTTGCCCAGCATGCCGAAGGCCCTGGGTTCAATCTCCAGAACTGCAAAAACAAAATGAAACAAACTCATAGGATTCCCAGCAGTCAGACTCAAAATGCTGCCTTTTCCTGCCTTCTCACCCACACCCACCCAGACCCAGCTGCTTTAATTAAAACTCCATTTAATCAAAACCCATACATCTCCTGGCCCACTTCTTTTGGCTCCTCATACATCACACAAGCAAGGCTCTCTGTACACATACCCAGATGGTGGCTGTACCCCCACAGAGCCTGCTGGATGGAGGTGCCAGCCAGCTTTCAAGCAGTTCCCTGCACACCTGCTCCTGGGTGCGGCCAAGGGCAAGGATCAGAGCACAGCACAGAGACTCTGCCGATTGCAGAGATTGGGCTCCAGAATCCCAGATTTAGAATCCTCCTTCCACTTTCTAGTAGCAAATGTTTACCAGTTACATACTCTGCAGTGCCACGAGGCATCCCAACTGCTGGACCACAGGAAGCCCTGTGTTACCTGCTGCCAACCTGAGGATTCAGGTACTACAGGCCACTCTCTGTCCCCACGGCCTCAGCTCCCATTTCAGATGAGCTGCAAACCCCAATTTCAAAACACCAAAGGAAATTTAAGACTAAGAAAGATAAACAACCATATCAAAACCATGGAGAGGGAGCCAGGGTTGTGGCTCAATGATAGAGCACTTGCCTAGCATGTATGAGGCACTGGGTTAGATTCTCAGCACCGCATATAAATAAATGAACAAAATAAAGGCCCATCAACGTCTAGAAACAATATTAAAAAAACATGGGGAAATTGGTTCATTGCAGAAGAGAGGAAGGTAATGGAGTGATGTAATAATGATTTTTCAAGACATTTCAGATTCTCAAAGAAACAAAGGAGTAGCATCCATAAACAAGAATGAGAATTTACAAATCCACTGGCAGAAATAAGAATAGGAGACTATGAACAAGAAATAACATAAAATCCCAGACATGAAAAAAAAAGGGGACTAAAATAAAGAACACACCAGGTGTGATGGGCTTCAGGCATGCAAGCTGTTGAAGGGATAGTTGGGGATCAGCAAGATGGAATACTCACAGAAACCTCATGGAGACAAGGCCTATGAGGAAACAGTAGAGAGACACAGAAGGGAAATTGAGAAGCATCAACATCTGTCTCTCAGGGGCTCAGGAGGAAGATGAAAAGGCAAAATCGAATCACAGCTGGATGGGCAGGCTGACTCCTCGACTGGACCACAAGCCTTGTGTTGGCCCAGTTGTGACAGCACAAGAGCTTCTCAGAATACCAGGACCCAGGATTCACTGAGCTCCTATTAAATCATGCTAGGCAGGTGMCTTTTGTGGCTCTGGAACTGAGCAACTACTAGCCTGGGCCTCTCTTCCTTCCCTAGCTCCCTCTGGGGCTGCACAATGCCTGGCTTCAGATGCCTGGTGCAGGCTGGGCCCCAGGTACCCAGGCAGGTTCCCCGTGGTACACCCTCCCCCACCACCCATGGGTGTGCAACTGCTGCTCTCTGCTCCTGGGAACAGGATGTGGGCAGGAACAGAGAACCAGCTCCCTGTAGCTGGAGGCTGAGGCACTGGGCCCGCCTCTCAGAGCAGCCTCCATACCACCGACCACAGGCCAGCCTTGCCCAGAGGGCCTCCCAGCCTACCACAGCTTCCTTCTTCCCAGCGGGGACCCAGAATGGTCCCTGCCATCCCCATATGCCCAATCCAGATGCAAGAAAAGTCACAGGTCCCAGTCTCCTTGCCTTAGGTGACCACTTAACTCATTGCAGGCAGCTTCTCCAGACAACAACCCCTCCAAGGGGCCATGCCTCACAGAGGTACTAAGAGCCCATTCTGTGGTGTAAGCAGCCTAGGTGGTATCCACACCAACTCTATCATGCACTTCCTGTGCCCCGAGCACCAGGTTTCCCCTCTGTGCTGTGGCTCCTCATATGTGCACAGGCTGTGGTAAGATAGCATCACGTGAAAAACCCACCACGTATACCTCCCACAAATGGCAGATGACAGGTGCTGTATTGCCTAAAGAGGGGACACAGGGCTAGGCATGATGGTGCATGCCTGTAATCCCAGCAGCTCAGGAGGCTGAGATAGGAGGATGGTGAGTTCAAAGCCAGCTTCAGTAATGATGAGGCTGCTAAGAAATTCAGTGAGACAATGTCTCCAAATAAAATACAAAATAGGGCTAAGGATGTGGCTCAGTAGTTGAGTGTCCCTGAGTTCAATCCCTATTACCMAAAAAAGAGGGGACATGGGGGCTCCAGAGCACGCAACCCCAGTGAGCCTGGAGTGGAATGCTGAGGCCTGTTGAAGGGGCAGTGCTTAATACACTGAGGACAGAGGGATGTGGACCCATGCTGGGGTCTCTAGGACACGGGTGTGATGATGCAGCCCTGGAGGCTGAAGGGAAAGTGCAGCAGGAGCCAGACCAACCTGAGCATATCCCACCTGAGCCCTGTCCATTGCTCCTTTGCCCTTTAGTGGCTTCCCCCCAGACTGACTCACGGCTTGCAGAGGCCACTGAGGCTAGGAGCAAAGCTCTTGTAGCAGATGAGCAGAAAACTATCAGCCCTGGGATTCTGGGCAGAGAGCACCAGCCTAAGTCCCAGGAAAGGCATCCCTCATCTCTCCTCCAGGTAACAGATGCTGCTAGAAACAGGCTGGTGGAACAGCAGCATCCCCACAGGTGGGAGCCACGGAAGGGCAGTGCTGTCCCCTGCCCAGCAACTTCAAAAAACAGAAGTCAGTCCTGCAGGAGTAGGTGTAGGCCCAGAAGGATTCCCAAGGGCTTCTCAGAGGAGAGAACTTTGGAGGGACTTGAAAGACAAAGAGGTAAAAGGAAAGAGGTGGGAGATATTCTATCAAAGAAAACAGCCTGTACACAGCTCAGAAGAATATCTGAGAGTATCTGAGAAACAACCAGGCTTGAGGTTGTCCCAGCAGCAAGTCCTGCCTTCCCAGCAAGGCTAAGCTCCTTCATAGGCTGGGGTGAGGAGCAGCGGCTTTCCCCCTCCATCAGGATCCTCTCCAGCCCTTGGCAGGATCTCAGAGCTTCCAGGCTGCAGGGGCCAGAAGTCTCAGGTGAATAATCAGTCCCATGGAGGCGGGCTCTTCCCTTCATCCCAGTTCCTTTCTCTCCCCTTCTGGATCCAACAAGGACCCCAGGGTCCCACCCTGAGACACTGGACTCTCTCTGCTCCCTCCAACCTCCAGACAATTCTCCTTCACTAATTAAGTCTTTCAGGCCAACCTCCACCTTTCTGTGGCCTCCAGTGTGTCCTAGAGTCCAGACCCTTCCCAGGGGAGGGATAGTTGAAACTCCTCCCTTTTGCTGACTCAGCACCTGACTGTGTCAATCTCCTCTCCTCAGTGCCCCACCATGCACGGCAGAACCACATCTCTCTAATCAGAAAGATAGTAGAATGTATCAGACATTACTTTCCTATGTGCATATATGATGACATGACCAATGTATCTACATCATGTACAACCAGAAGAATGAGAAATTATACTCCATAAATGTATAATATGTCAAAATACATTCTACTGTCATGTATGACTAATGAAAATAAATAAAAAATATCTGTAGGAACAAAACAAAACAAAACAAACAAAAGAAAAACCATCTCTCCGCCCTTCTCGCCTGTGCTGATCCATTTCTGCCATCCTTCCCTCTGCTCTCTCACACTCACAATCCTCAGAGCTTGGCTTGACAAGACAGATCTCAAAGATACCGAGATGTTGATTCCAGCTCATCTGTGGTGAGATGGCTCAGGATCAGGCAGGTTAGAAGGTGGGAAGAGTCACTGTGGGATTTCACTATTGAGAGTCACCAAGGGGTTGTGGTACCACTCACAGACCCTGAACTTTGCAGGACCCGATACCCTGAAACCACATGCTTGCTCTCAAGCCAACTCTTATCCACACCTACCTCTACCCACAGTGATCTCTCGTGGAGTCTCGTGACACTTCCTACAGGGTTTTCCAGCTTAAGTACAGTCCCCTGACTTGTCCTCTGGTGTGTTCTGAACTTCACCCCAGCTCCAGCCAATGCATGTCTCATTTCTTCTCCAGCAGAGCCCCATTGTTAGGAACACTGTCCTTGCTCTACAGATGAGAAAATGGATTCCCAGGGCAGTGACCTTTCCAAGGCCACCAAGTTAGTGAGTCAAGGAGGCAAGATCAAAACCCAGTTTAGGGCATCAAAATCTGGTCCTGTGGCTGGAGTTGTGGCTAAGTGGTAGAGCGCTCGCCTAGCACATGCAAGGCCCTGGGTTCGATCCTCGGCACCACAAAAAAATAAATAAATAAATAAAATAAGGATATTGTGTCCAATTACAAGTAAAAAATAAATATTAAAAAAAATCTGGTCCATTGGTCACTCTTAAGACCAATTGTTGCCCTCTTTGGCATCAGCCAAATCCTGTCTTCTATCAAAGGTGTGGGCTGCCCTCAGCCTCCTTCAGGCTATAAGAATGGAGTCCTGGAATCTGTTTATTAGCACTGAGGGGTTGTGAATGGAGGGGCACTGGCTGGGATTTTCCCAAGGAGCACTAGATTCTGGGAGACTCTAAAAGGCAAGAGCCAAACTTTGAAGTGCTGACACTATAGCTAGGGGACAGTATATGAGGAGCTCCTACCACAGATATGCTGGGTCTCAGGATGGGGACCAGCCCACCAAGACAAAGCCTTGGTGCCCCACCCAAGACCTTCAGGACCAAGGCGGCAGCTCTCTGACTCCACCACACACTCCCTGGACCACTGTGTTCCAGAGAGCTTTCTTTCCTCAGGGGCAGGACATCCTGGCTGGGCATGGAGGTGGCATGAAGTTTTCTGGAAGATACAGAGTCTAGGAGTCCTGGGCAGCCGAGGCAGAGCACAGGGCACCAACACCACGGAAGGCTTGGGTTCCAGGCTTGTGGAGAGTCCAGACTCTGGGGTCAGAAGGTGGGATGCAGGCTTTGGGTGGGGAAGGAGAGTGGGCAAAGGGGGCCAGTAACCCTTCACAAGAGCCAGAACACCGGGGACACCACCGGCTTTCCCTCCCGCGGCGATCCGGCCTCCCGCATCTACCACCCCGGAAAACTCCGTCTTTCCTTCCAGACGGGGAAATTAAGATCTAGAGCCATGAACGCCAGGATCTTTGCTCCTCTGGTTCACGTTCCCCTCCTCGAGCTCCTGGGCTGTCCTGGGCCAAATCCCTCGAGAGCCGCCACCATTCCCGCCATTCCTACCTTCGCTGAGGGCAGCGGGGCACTCTGCCAGCATTGGTCCGAGGCTCGCGCCCACTCCGAGTCCTCCGGCCTCTCCTGGGTCCCCTGAGCCCGGTTCCCGCCACCACTGTCCACTAGGTGCGTTCGTGCACTCCCCAGCGCGTTTGGAACTGCCCTTTTTCGCCGGGCCCCAGACGTTCGGGATGCTGTCTTTGCCCGCCCGATGCCCACCGCGGAGTACCAGTGCCCGCCCCGACTCTCCACCTGTTAAAATCCTCTCTGGTCCCTGGGAGTCCGCCCCGTCTCTCTCAGTCCGAACCTCGGCGCCCTCAGCCCAGCTCCAGGTCTGACGCTCCTGGTAGGGTCATCGCCACGCGGTGGGTCGGCCCTCGGCGCCCAGACAAACCGACGGCTGCTCCCCGCCCATTGCCGGCGAGTCCAGACGCCTGCTCCGTATCCCCCCGCTCCAGTCGCCRCACCCTAGCGCCCCTTCCCTTCCCCGCCTACCCCTGCGCACCTTCCGGTCGCTTTGGGGAGGCCAAGAGGATCCGCACACCACACCGACCCCCTTCCAGGCTTAGGACGTGACCTTGCTGGAAGAGTCCCTGCACGGATCATTCCCGTGGCCGCCGCGGGCCAGGGCTCGGACCCGGGCGCTCGCGAACTCTCTCTGAGACGTGGGAAGAGAGGGTCCCAGGGACGAGTATCCTGAACATAGCAGGGTCGCGACCCGAGCTGCCCAGCTCTCCTGGCCAGCAGCCTCCGATGGCCCCACCCTGCAGCTGCCCGCCCTGGACCCCCGGAACCCCGGCCCTGGTACCCCAGCTGACCTGCAGCTCGCGCACCGGCTCCCGCTGTCTTGACGGCCGCTCGGGCTCCGGCTCCGGCCGCATCGCTCACGGGCGCCCCCTGCAGGCGGCTTCTAGACCCATGCTGCCCCCGCCCCGCCCCGCCGCGTGGGGAAACTAAGGCCCAGAGGCTCACTGGGGCCCCAGGGAGATGCCCCTGGCAGAGCCGGGCCGCAACGTACTTGGAACGCGCTGCATGCCCCGCCTGGGCTCCCCAGCGTGACCCTCACAGGCTCACACCTCCTCCCGCGCCACACACCCTTCCCCACAGGAGAGTCCTTCTTCCAGCCCTATGAAGTTCTAAGGGGCGCCACTGGCATTCCTTCTTCTCCAAGAAGCCCCAGGGCCGCCTCTGCCGCGGCTCTGTGTTCCTTTATCATCAGAGCTGGGCTGCCTTGGTACCCCATGTCACTCCCTCTGCCTCTCCTTAACCCAGACTTTGGGCCAGAGTCCCTCGTGTTCTTACAGCACCTGGCGCGGGATAGGGATCAAACTCCTTGAATGTCTTCTCCACTCCCCACTTTTCCAACTACAAAGGGAAGTGGGAGTCACATCTGCACCACAGACTTGGGACCTCGGTCCCTGGCCTGGGAATTCCCTCTTCTTTCTGCCCTTGTTCTGGATGCTCGGAATTGAGAATGACCTCATGTCCACCCCAGATGGGCCTGCAAGGGGTTCCACCTTTGATTCTTGCTTGAGTGGATTTGGACTAATCTCAATTTTGTTCACAGAACAAACCCCTCAGACATCCAGGACTTCAGTGGCTAAGGTTTTTCCAGAACCCTTGACTTCTAGATCCTCCTGAGGCCAGTGGGGTTTTGGCTAAAGGCTCAGGATGGAGAAGCTTGCTCAGGCCAGTCTAGACCCCAGGACTGAGGCCAGGATGGAGGAAAGACCTCTCAGGAAGCAGCCCTCTGTCCTGATTGCAGGGAAGAGAAGGTGGGTGGGAATTGGGTATGCCAACACCTGTCTAGTGCAGGAAGACAGAGAAGCCTGAAGAAGGCTGAGGCAGTGACATTGATTTTGGCTTATTTCTGTAGACAAAGCCTGGCCTCCTGTTCCTATTTTACTTGCCCAGGCCCCTAGTTCTGTGTTCACTAATGTCCAGGGATACCCTCGAGATCTCTAAGCAGAGGAGGGCAGGTTGAGATGGGCAGGGACCTGGCCATACTGGAGTTAAATCCAAGACCCCTGAGGGGTAAGGCCTCATGAAACCCTGGGGACACTGCTGATCTCTGCCTTCACCTCTTTCCAATCTCACAGTTGGCCTTATTGAGTTTTCACCCCCAACCCCTGTCCCCCAGCTGTGGCCTTTGCTAAGTCTGCCCCTCTCCTCCTAGGGCCCTTGGTTTCTTTAGTAAAGGAATCCCCTACCCTAACTACTACCACCAGGTGGGGACACTCTCCCTTGGACCAGCTGCTGCATCTGCTTAGGCACTGTAGCATTCCTATTTGTTTCTACCCTGCCACTCCCTGGAGCTGAGCTAGCATCATCGCATCATGGGGCACTAAATGCTAAGGGAGCTGCCCAGGCAGGGGATCCTCCCCCCAGGCCCTGGGCTCCCTACCCTTGTTTTTCTGGGCTTCCCCCATGAGGTAGAAGTCCTACCACAGTGGGGACACTCTTTCGCACTCCTGTTGGAACAATATTTATTCAAATACTCAACAAACGTTCAAAGAATACTCTGTCTTGAGAGTTGCTCCAAAGGGGCTATGATGCCTCATGAGGCAGAAACTGATATTCAGCCAATTTTGGGGGGCTCTCTTGCTCCCTGGTCCTTGGTGTGGACCTCAGTGTTCTCTGCTGTTCCCATTCTGGGACCCAGCAACCTTCTGCTGGACTTCCCCACATGTGGTCTGGCCTTGTGGACTGTGGCAATGCCTCCTTCAGGGAGAGAGGACTTCACATCTACTGTCCTCAGGATCACAGAATCAAAGCTCTTCTAATTCACCCCTAAGGTTTGGCAGGCAGTGACCCTATCACTGAGCATTGGTGCCCAGAAGTGGGAATGCTGTGTCCTGGAGCTGGAGTGGTCAGCAGGGCTTGGCTGGCTCCAGCTCCAGAGCAAGCTCTACAGGCCCCAGACCCCCATGAAAAGCAGTGCCAAGAAGGCTGTGAGGAGCCAGCCTTGGCCAGGTCCCAGTCCTGGCCAGTTAAGGAGAGAAGGAGCACCACTCCATGGTCTTGTGCATCCATCAGGAACCCTGACCAGGTCTCCAGTGAAGCTTGCCCAGAGACAGCACATTCTGACCCATGCAGTTCAGTGGTGGGAGGGGTGGCAGGAAGGAGGGCTGTTCATACTTTGCTTGTCCCACAGGTTCATAGGACTCTTCCTCCTCTGTTGCTGCTATGCCTCCTACACAAGGCCCCCTACTGGTCTTAACTGGCCGGTCCTTGCTAGTTATAAGAGCTTTCTTTGGGTGCACCAAGCACTACAGGRGCCTGAGCCTGGGCCATCCCAGGGGAGCTCTAAGAACAAGTGGAACTTAACTCCAAGTGTAGCTGCTCCCCTTAGTGGGTACAGGAATGCCCCTAATGGCTCCCAGCTTCTATCTCTGGGCCTTGATTTCCCTGCCCAGTCTCAGGCAGGCTTTGAAGGCTATACACGCCCGCCCTTCCTTCCGTCCAGTCCTGGACTCCTCAGGCCAGATGGTGGGGCCAGCTGGGCCCTCTCCTGCTCCAGAATTCCGTTCTCAGACTACCCACCCCCACAGCCCTTTGTTCCTGCCCAGGATGCACCTGGGTGGCCTCTGGCCCTCATTGTTTGCTCTGGGACCAGCAGAGCCACATCAGGGAGCAAGACAGACCAGGACCAGAACCACGCACCAAGTAAGTAGCACACTGGGCCAGGGTCCCTGGGAATCAATCAAGCCACCCCAGAGTGTTCACCCAACTTTTCCTCCTGTGATCAGGGGAACTCACAGGGCTTCAGTATATCCTCAGTGTGAAGGAAATCCTGAAAAGACAGTCATACCAGAAGAAACAATCCCAGTCACCTGAACCCTCGGCGGATCCAGGGGCAAAACCTGCCCCCATCCTCCAACTCGGCCGCATGGGAAGATTCTCATGTCTGCTTCTGACCACTGCGGGACAAAGAGCAATCCACCAGCTGATTTGTGCATTAGTGAAGATGGGAAACAGGTCCTAAAGGGAATGGAGCCCTGTTCTGGCTCCAGTGAGAGGTAACAGCACCCTGAAATCCTTCATGCCAGGGCTTTTCACTCATTACCCCCAGATAGTCCTATACCACCTCACTGTTCTTCCTACACCCTCAACCCCTGAGACCTACCAAGTCTTCCTCTTCCATGTTAGAGATGATGCCTGACAAGAGGGTCCCTTCTTGGGGTCACCACTTCATAGAGGTGGAAACACGACCAGCACTGGTGCCCAACTTGGGGAGGACACTATGTGCAGACTCCTGCTAAGTGCCTATCTCATACAGTAGACTCCTTGATGGGACATGGCACTGCAGTCTCTGCAGAGCATATCTGCTTCCTGCTGGATGGGTGTCTGTCCCCAGGCATTCTGGTTCTTTCTAGAAGTCAGAGGCCTCCTAGGGATAAGGATCCATTCTTCCAAGCTCTGCTCTGGGTCTGGTGTTTTAAGTCACGTGGTCAGTTGGTTTTCCATACACCTTTGACCTGCCCTCCTGCCCTTTATTCCCTTCTCAGGAAAATTGGTACCCTCTTCTCCTGTACCCTCCCATGTTAGTTCTGGCCTGTGGGGGTCAGAACTCTGAATACCAGCAACTCAGGATCCATTCTTCACCCAACACAGAACAATGTTTGCACGTTGAGACCCATTATGTCTGGACCTTAGACAACCTGAAATAATCCAAGCCACTGAGACTGTGAGAAGTATTGGTCTCTGATGGTATGGTTGGAGTTGACCATTGGATGCCACCAGGGCCCATGGTGCAGTCATCTGGGTCTAGGATCTTAGCCTCTCAAGTCTGTGGATGGAAAGGCCTTTCTGGATCTCTCCACTCTCCCTAGAACCTGTTTTCTTCTTCCCACCCATCAAAGCTTCCCCTCAAAGAGGCTCTGGAACTTTCTCTAAGTCAAGGTGGAAGTGATGCTTCCCCAGTGGTGCAGCCCTGAGGCAGGCAGTATGAGCCTTGGCCTGGCCCTACAGGTACCAGGCAAATAAACTGGGCTATAAAAGGAGCACTTGGGGGTCAGGCTCAGGGTCTGGGTAAGGTATTCCTCCTCTCTGGAGGGGGGAAGCAGCTGTGGGGAAGCATGCTTCCCCCCAGCCCCAGCACAGGTCCAGGTGGGTGGGTCAGCTCTTCCCAATGTGCAGGTGGTAGCCACATGGACTTCTTTGCATGTGACAATGTGCAAGGGGACAAGACATTATTGCTGGACTGATTTCAGGGGGTTCAAAATCATTGCATACAAGATACAGAGGGGTCTGGGGATGCAGCTTAGAGGTAAGAGCACTTGTTTAGTATGTACAAGATCCCTGGTGGTTCCATCTCCATAGAGAAGGGGTGGGGGAGAAAGAGACGCTTAATTGCAGGTAGTATCATCTCCCCCCCTTACCTTTTCTCTGTACTTTTATACACTCAAAAAGATACATTTCTAAAAGACAACCTTTTGGGAGCTCCTGATGGCATGTGTCTGGGCTATGCTTGGGGCTTCCATTCTCAGGTATTGGGGGGACCCTTCTGTTGTTTCTGGGGTCTTAGCATGTCACAGAACTTGAGTGTCCCAGGGCAGGCTGGAACCTCTGGGTACATCTGCCCCTTCCCTCCTGGGGTTTCAAAGGTTCAGAGACCACATGGCAAGGGACTAGAGGAGGTGCACCCAAGTTCCTCACCATAGCTAGGTTCTTCTCACATGAAGAATGAGTCTGTAGAGCCACTGGGAGAAGCTGAAGGCTAGATACTGAGGTAACTTCTCAGGAGGCAGCAACCAGAGTTTGTGTGACTMAGGGGCAGGAGAGAGAGAAGGCAAGCTAGAAAAGTTCAAACTGGACATGTTTTAACAATTTAATACATTCAAGAATATTTACTAGAATAAAATAACCAAGTATCATTCATCAGTCAGCAGAAGCCTGTGATCCAAAGAAGTAGAAAGGTAAACTGGCCCTTTTGCAGTAAAGCTTGTGCTTGAAGGGAGAAGAGGCAAAGTGACTTCCTGGAAGCTTCATAGCAGGTACCCCTGGAATAAGAGCACCTCCAAATATAACTTTTAAAAAACAAAACAAAACAAAATCTGATAGTGTTATAAGGGTCCTGCTAGAAGAGGCAAAAAGCAATGCTTCTGGACCACCTGGGCCCTTACACTAATGTGGGCAGCTGACTTTCCCAGGGAATGGGGGGTTGGAGGTGAGCCTCCAAACAGGTGGATCTTCCCTAAGCCTACCCTCTGCTCCTGCTGCTGGTCCTTGAATTCCAGAACAGACATGCTATCTCCATGGACACAGCCCATTGGCAGTGGCCACCTTTCCCCAAAACCTTCTTCCAGAAGACTCTGACAACCTCCACTTGAGAATGAGCTGCCAAGGCAGGACTCATGCAGTCAGCATGGGACAAAGTTGGGAACTGCAGACCTAGGAAAGAAAGTCTTCTCATTCATAGGACAAAACAGCTCACCCTCCATGATACAATAAATTAACAAAAACATGACCACAGATCAGACACCCTAGATGCAGACAGTGAACCTGAGGGCAAATGGGAGCAGGGGCAGCAACTCAGAAAAATTAAGTTGAGAGACAATTAGAAATGATGATTCTCACACTCACAACTGCCTGTCAGCAGAGCAACAAGGACAGGAATAAGAATAGAACTCAGCCAGAGGACTGAGCCAGGTGCCTGGAGGGTCTTCTGGCATGCTCTGAGACTTGATGGTGCTCACTTGGCCTCTCTTTTAGCTGAAAATGGGCTCAGAGCCCTCAGTCAGGGGCAGCAGTCTGAGCTGCCAGGTTAGGACACTTCAGGGCAGACAGTTATCTACTTGTGTTTTTAATAACCACTTTTCTAGGCTCCACAGATGCCTCAAATTCCTAGTCTAGAGCATCTTACTTGAATGTAGACCCTTTGCCCACAGCTGGATGTACCCGCAGTAGGGCTCCAGGGTACATCTTCTGTGCATCTGGTCAATGGGGCTGCCACCCTGCCTCCAGTGGTAGCCAGTCCTCCTCATGGTGCCTTGCAGGTGCCCAACAGATGTATTTTGGAAGTTAAGACAGTTCTTGACATTGTCTAAACTAAGGGCTACTGTGTCAGGCACACATGAGATGTGGGCTCCAAAATAGTTAAAGTCATCAATGGACCACCTTTAAGTAAGGCTGTGGTTCAAACAGCATAGAACCAGCACCTGGGGAAGGAGGGCACAGCTGTGCGGCATCTCCTCACTGAATCCCTGCTGCCATCTGCCCTGGCCATGGAGGACACGGTTGCCCTGACGAAGGGAGAGGTAAGGCACTCTTATATTCCTGCCCACGAGGCGGATGTCTTGGCAAATCAGTGGTGATTTAAAATTATACTGTCTGGACTCCTTATGTTGTGTCCTTTTTTTTCTCCTGCTATTTCTTACTTCACTCCTTGCTCTCACCATGCTAATGTCCAAATTTTGTGTTTTATTCCTATGCTTACTAAAACAACTTAACTTTGGTACTAACAGATTAGGAGCTATTTTTCACAATATTGTTCATAATAAAACAAAAATTTTAACTAGGATAACTTTTTATAACCAGTCCTTTCACTCAGAAACCTGAAGCCAGAGCTGGGGCTGGAGGCAGATGGCCAGTGAGCCAAGAGCCCTGCCTGCTTTCTGCCAACAGAAGCCCAGTGGCAGCAGACATACCCGGCTGTGGGCCTGTGGGCTGGGAATGCCTGTGCTATGCTTCTTGACACTCTGTTAACTCAAGTTAAAAACTCCTAAACCACTGCAGCCAGGACAGCACTGTGGAAGGGGTTGCTGTCCCATTTCTGTAGTGATGCTAGAAACCAGGCCATGTAAAGGGCCATAGCTGGATCCACCCCAGCCCTAGGGAGCAGACACCTGCCAGGTATCCTCTTTCCTCCTGGTTCACACCATCAATGGAACCCACATGGGTAACAGTCAAGAAGTTCTGTAGCTAAAGCTTTCACCAACTCCTGGGAGTCCCCCATAGTTCAATTCCTTTTCCCAAATCTGGGTAGAGACAAGCCTCTTTGTTTTTACACCCTAGGGCACTTGATGGAGTTTGATGTTTTCTTCAGAAGAAAGTCAGCTTTTGTGTTGCGTGTTGTGCCCATAGCAAAGGCCATATGGAAGAGCCCAGTTCTTCACTGTGGGCCATATGGCCTGAGTTCTCTGGACACAGAGTACTGGGCTGAGGCTCACACATTGCAGGGCAGCCCAGAGTCGCTGAAAGCTTTGGGGGTGCATAGCTAATGGTGTTAGTGTTGTTTGGTGACTGTTGAGGTCCCCAGCCAGTGGCAGCTTCTACTGGTATGCTCAGGTTTCAAAGTACTTGTAGATCGCAGTCACGTACAGCATCACATTTTGCCAATCTGGCCTTTCAGTCCGTACCATCTCATTAATGTCCTGAAAGTAAGAAGAGGCTTAGTTAGGATTGCAGGTTACCTCCTGTCCCATCCCAACAGGTTCCTTATCACACTGATAGTAGAGGATTTTTAGTCTAAGCCTGATTACACAATTCAGAGGCCTGGCTCAGGACACCTCCTCCATTTCTTTCAAGTGCAATGGGAGGCATCTTCTCCCAGGGTATCAGTATCATCCTCAAACTGCCTGCTCCTACATAAGCCTACCCCAGAGCCATATGCAGGGCTACTCCCTGCCACAGCTTCCAAGGCTGGAAGGGTTTCATTTGGTTTGGAGGACCTCTGATGCCCCGCTACCTGCCTCTCTTCTGAGGCCACTCCCCATGGGACACTTCTGAGAACCCTGTTTGGCTTCAGGCACTGGCTTGGGAGGGCTTCCTATTTCAGGGGCTACCAGTAGCAACACTGATAACCTTCACCATGGGCAAGTCAGAAATCATCAAAGATACTATTCTTTTTTTAAGTTTAATTTTTATTTTTTAGTTATACGTGGACACAATATCTTCATTTTTATTTTTATGTGGTGATGAGGATGGAACCCAGTGCCTCATGCATGGTAGGCAAGAGCTCTATCTCTGAGCCACAACCCCAGCCCTTCAAAGACAATATTCTTTAGCTGCATTCTATATATTAGCAGTGACTTGTGAGACGGGAATTGACTGTATAAGGAAAATGAAATGGGGACTCATGGTCCGACAGCTCCCCGTCCCAGTATCTCAGGAGCTGTAACTCACTCACTGCTGCTGAAGAGCAAGGGTAGCAAGTCTGAGGACCATTCTACAGACAAGGAGCCCAGAACATGCTGCTGAGCACACAGGGTTGGGAGGGCCATCCTGTATATCTCAGTATAGAAAACAGAAGACTGTTTACTCAATGCAAGGTTCCTTTTTTTTTTTTTTTTTTTTGAGATAGAGTCTTGATCAACCCAAGTTGATCTCAAATTTGTGGGCTCAAGCAAACCTAAGCCTCCTAAGAAGCTGGAACTATATCTGTGTGCCACCTTGATAATATATTTGTGGCGAGAATACTCTTATAGTGTAAATATGAGTATAAAAACTTCTGTAAGGTGTATGCAGCTGTTTTTATTCTTTTTTTTTTTTTTGGCGGGGTGTGGGGTGGTACCAGGTATTGAACTCGGGGGCATTCAACCACTGAGCCACGTCCCCAGCCCTATTTTGCATTTTTATTTAGAGACAGCGCCTGGCCATTTCTGAGGCTGGCTTTGAACTTGCAATCCTCCTATCTCAGTCTCCAAACTGTAATTCCAAACTGTAATCTGGGATTACATTATTAAAATAGCACCTGGCAGCTATTTTAAATTAGGGTTATTATGGGTACTCAGGGATGGGGAGGTGGCCCTGGAGGACTGCAGAGGAATGTGGGGGTCCCAGGAACTTTCTGTGATAGCCCCATGAGGCCTGAGTTACACACTGTGGTCTATGCCATGGTAAAGTAATCCATTTATACAGTAAAAGAATCCCTAGCAGTAAAAGCCCTGCTTTACATTTAGACATAGTATTTTCTTTCATTTCTTTTTTTTTTTTTTTTGGTATCAGGGATTGAACCCAGGGCGCTTAACCAGAGCCACATCCCAGCCCTTTTTATTTTTTAGAGACAGTATCTCACTAAGTTGCTTAGGGCCTTGCTAAGTTACAGAAGCTGGCTTTGAACTTGCAATCCTCCTGCCTCAGCCTACTGAGCTGTTGGGATTACAGGAATGCACCAGCATGCCTAGCCTGACATAGTATTTTCTCCCAGAACATTGTGTGACAAGACTCCTAACAGAATCATGTCTGTTTTGAGGTCCAGCAAAGGCTGGGAAGAAGCCTGAGAGGGACCCAAGGCCACATAGTTTTCTATACCTGTTTCTCTCATGGTGGGAGGCAGTTTCTCACAGCCCTTGTGAGGAAGTACAGGCAGCATTCCTCAGCCTCTAAAGCTATCTTCCTGGACTCAAGATGTACCCTCCCTCTCCCTCTAGATCAACAAAAGGCACATACTTGTATAAGATGTCTTTGACAGGGACATTTATAAACRTGTGACTTTTTTTTTTCCCCTGAACCCCAGTATCTTGTTAAGGAAAAGGCAACAATAAGTAACCGTTCTCTGTGAGGCCTGAGGTGCCACAGGCAGCAGTGAGAACCCATATTACTACCTCACCCAGATGGGACCCTATCTTGCCCGCAAGACTCTCATGCAGCCTCATCTCCTAGTGACAATACTCTTCTTATCCAAGAGGGCCTGTCTGTGACTTCTCAGTAGGGACAGGGGCTCACCAGTGTGGATTTGATGCCAACACTTTCAGCTGCCTGGAAGGCCAGTGTGAAGTTCCTTTTCTGTAAAAGAAATCATATTGCTGTAGTGTTCAGACAACATAAGGAGAAAAGTAATGTGAGGGACAGACACTCACCTCTGTTTGGGACTAAAACAAACCCATACTGGGACCCTGAGGACTCCCAAGTCTGTACCAAGGACCTCATGGATGCCTCTTGTGAGTCCTGCTCATCCTCCTCTCTACTCAGCCAAGGAGCTGTCCACATACTTTCTTTCCTCACTCAGGAAGGTCTACTTTTGACACACAGACCCTGAGCTGCCTAGATATGTACCCAAAAAATACCTATTAAAAGGTGTTTTGATCTTCCTTTTGGGATCTTCAAAGGTTTTCTTCAGAGCTGGGGGCTGCTATGGGAGAGATGGGGGACCAAGGCAGGGGTTCTGGACCTATCCCCTGACCCTGAGGAGGTTGATGGATGGGATGTCTTAAATGATGAACTGGGACTGTACAGAACTGCAGAAAGGGCCATGTCCTGACATGACAAGAAGTTGGTCTGTTCTGGGTGGTACTGCCCTGACCGCTCATGCCATAAACAGCCCTTCCTATCCATTTCTTGAAGCCCCTGATCCTAAATGTTGCTCCTATTAGAGAGATCATCACATGCAGAATTGTGAACTGACCAAATGTTTCATGTGGTGGGTCAGGAACTGGCTCTCTGAGCACAAATGACCAATCTCAGATGAGACTGAATCAGAAAGTGACTGTCCTAGGCCAGCACTGTTGTGTGTGACCCAGTGATGGAAGGAGCCAACCATTCTGTGGCCTGCCTTACCTTATCTTGGCTGTTCAGTTCTTGATATGGAATGTGGGCTGGAAGATATGTATGCAGGAGTGCGCAGAAGGCTAGCCCATCGTTCCAGCTGCTACTGAAGTTTGTAATATCGATATTCTAAGTGAAAAGAAGAAAATCACGTAAATGACACATGTTGTGATCCTCCCAGGAGGTGCTTGGGAGATTGGAGAAGCCTCTGATGTCACATGGCTTCCAAAACATAAAAGCAAACCCCAGGCAGGGTGAGCTCTGGAGAATGTTAGGGGCCACATCCCAAGACCCACCTTACTGTTTATGACTGGACATTTTATAAATGCCTCTATCCCTGCCCTCACATGGTCACATGATTTATAAGCAGCTCCATATAACTGAGACGCCTCCAGGCAGTTAAGGTTGGTCTCTCCAGTGTCTGAATATGGTGAAAGTACAGACTGCAGGATGTGGGTGATGACCAAAAAGGCTTAAAGCATCATTTACTAAAATGTAACTCATTCCCCATTGTTTGCTAAAGCACTTAAAAGAAACTCCAAGTCAGTGTACATCTCAGAATATGCACACACAAGAATACTGTCTTGAGGTGCTGACTTCCACAACCGGGCTGGGTTTCAGTACCACATTGCATTGGTGATCACTATAGTTTCCACTCTCACATGCCCACAGTTGAAAAAATAATTTTCACACTGGACTGCGTACTTTCCTTGCTGCTTGAAAACCACCTTGCCTTTCTTTTAAGGGGCCCTTTACTGTATGTCTAAATGAAATGTATTTGCAACTACACAAGACACATATTCAGAGTGTTTATTAAAGTGTAGCTAACTGGTATACAGTCTTTTTTATCTTTAATTTTTTTTTTGACGGACACAATACTTTTATTTTATTTATTTATTTTTATGTGGTGCTGAGGATCCAACCCAGTGCCTCACATGTCAGTACACAAGTGCTCTACCGCTGAGCTACAACCCCAGCCCTGGTATGCAGTCTTTACCCTTATTTTTAAGAATCCTTTTGACGATAAAACTACATATTTAAATTGTGATAATTCACATATTACATAAATGTCACAGAGGAAAAAAAAATCTCCCAATACCTCCTCATTTCACATCTCACTTGTTTATTTCTTTCTCTAGGGATTGAACCCACGGATACTCAAATCACTGAGTATCCCAGCCCTTTTTTTTTTTTTTTTTTTTTTTTTTGGGGGGGGGGGTGCTGGGTACTGGGGATTGAACTCAGGGGCACTCAACTACTGAGCCATAGCCCCAGCCCTATTTTGTATTTTATTTAGAGTCAGGGTCACTGAGTTGCTTAGTGCCTTGCTGTTGCTCAGGTTAGCTTTGAACTCACTATCCTCTTGCCTCAGCCTCCTGAGCCACTGGGATTACACGTTTGAGCCACTACACCTAGCATCCCCAGCCCTTTTTATGTTTTATTTTAAGACATGGTCTCATTGAGTTGCCCAGGATGGCCTTAAACTTGCAATCTTGCTGCCTGAGTTTCCCTAATAGCTGGAATTTACAGGAGTGTCCCTGGCTCTCACTGTTTATTTCATGCCACCTTCCACTGCATTGACAGTCAGTTTCATAGGTTAACAGGGAACCCAACTTTTATTATTCAAGGTAAACCACCCAGCCCTTGAGTAGCATTTCTTATTCCTCCCAGGAATAAGTGAACCATACAATAATACCAACACTACTCATAACTGTGCAAAAAAATTTTACAAAACACCTCTTTACAAACTGATAGGTCCTCATGCCAAGAGGGGAACACAAGGCTCAGAAACAGGTAGGGCTTACAGGGAATGATGCACAGAGCTATGAGGATATGTCTATGCAGCCAGTGAGGGTCAGGTCAGGCTGGGCAGTTTCTGAGGAAATCGGCTTCATCTAGCCTTACATATGGAGGTGATTCCCTCACAGAGCATCCTGAGCTTCACCATCAAAGCCTATTTTCTCAATCATGACTGCATGTGTGCAGAATCCAGCCCTCTGGCAGCTGCTGCTCCAAGCACAAGTGTTTGGAAGGACAGCAGTTCTGAGAGCTACTTCATAGGTTGCTTCCCCTTATTAACATGACCATCAGAATGCTTCCAATTTCTCTAATCTGAACAAGAGATGTTGATCAATATCAATTGCTGTGAGGAAAGAGGTCACAACAAAGCACAGAAGGATAGAAACCTGCCAAAAGCTAGAAGGAAAGGTGGCATAAGCTAGCAATGGCTGGGGTGCTACATATGACTCAGGTATCACTTGTCCAGTCTGGTGACATCAGCTGTGTCAAAACACTTGGGCCTGGTCAGAATCCTGCCTGTCTCAGTGCTGTGGTCCTCAGCTTTCTCAGTCGCTCTCCATCAGAGTCTCTACTCTGATCTTAAAAGTCACTGTTCCCTGAGGCATTCTGGTGATGTCGTGGAAGCACCTCAAAATAAATGATGCTTCACAGTTACTGCCAATTTAAGAAGACTCCAGACAGAGAGACAGTAGACAGGCACATATACACACACATGGCTACCCCTCTTATCACATCTGAATCTCAGGAAGTAACCAGCTAGGGCAACCAGCTCCATCTGGAAGGAAACTACAACCTATGAGAGGCGATCTGTCAAAGGTGCTCCACAGGCAGCAGGGAAGGCAGGGATAGAAATCCTTGCCCTAAGCATAAGCATCCTGTGATCAGTATTTCTAATTCTCATAGTTACCCCACAAATCTTTGTTTGTTTGTTTTGCAGTGATGGGACTGGAACCCAGGGTCTCATGCATGCTAGGCAAGTGCTCTTACACAACCAGCTTACCCTAAAGCAGTCTTAATAAAGGTTAGGCTCAGGGAAGCCCAGACATTTACCCAGGCTGCAGATGGTCTGGTACAACTAGCACAGAAGGGATATCCTGCTTTCCCACAGATGTCTAAGATCTCCTAACGCTCTGAGGAAAGTGCAACATTTCTGAAATAAGTGAACACTTGGATGCAGAGAAGAGGCAAGAATGAAGTATGCAAGACAAATGAACAATGGGCCAGGACTGACTGGCAACATGATCTGCAGGGGCCACGGCAAAATAAAAATGCAAGGCCCCTTGTTCAGAAAGCAAAGGAAAAAGTCCATTAAAGGTACTGAAAAAAAACTTTCAAAGCCCTTTCCTACTCCTCCTAGGACTCTGATACTTGTGATTAAATTGTTGATGAAAAAGCCAAGGACATTGGCCTTGTCCTGTAAAGAGTGTGGCAGGAAGCTTTTAATAACACGTGAGGCTCCCTGCGAGGCCAATGGCAGCAACTCACTCGGTCACATTCACTTCTGGAGGAAGACAGATCTCCTCTTCCTGCCACAACTGCCCTTTCTGCTCCCTGAAACAGGCTGTCCAGCAGGGTGGTGGACATGTCTGGCCTCACTGTTAACCTCACAGCAAAGGCTCTTGTGCCCTGCCTACCAGGCTGTGGGAACCTGGGCCTTCTATCTCACTTTCTCCAGACACATCCAACCCCAGTGGGGAAGGAGCTACAGTTCAGGTACCCATTCCACCTGGAATCTGCAGGAAGAAATTTGTCCAGGACATGCCACAGCCACCTGTACCAGGAGGAAGTCAGGCCCCTAGGGTTTGAGATAAAGGGCAGCTAACAATTGTCTCTTACAACATTTCAGATCAAAAGAAAGCCCAAACTTAGGCAGTTGCCACATCCCTTACCTCTGGGGCTGGAGAAGAGCCAGGCCAGGCTGCCTGCTTATGGCACTGCTAAGAGGTAAGTTGGGGGCTGGGGATTCTGAGGTCATTAAGAAGCAACCCACTGGCACCTTTGCCTCTTAGTCCCATCCAAAGGCTCTGTGAGGAAGAAGGCAGCAAGGTCTTGAACAGGGGTGTTCCTTGGAAGTAGGGGAAACCTGCTCCCAATCCTACCAGTTATGTCGTTGTTTTTAATGTTCAGAGCTAATGAAACTAAAGAAATAACAACTGACTATACAAAGGTCTGCAAAGAATGAAGCTGTTTCTCTGAGGCTGAAAAGCACAGTGCTGGGAAAGACAGAGAGGAAGATGGGAACTCCTACCCTTCCTCTGTGGAGCTCTCCAGAGTGTGACCATCAAGGTACAGTAACACAATGACAGGATTAGCAAGTATCTTGAAGAAATATACTAAAAGGTACAAAATCATGCTGAGTTATCAGAGAAACAGCTTTTCCCTTCCTACCCAATGAAGACCTGCCTGGGTGGGGGATGGTAGCAGGAATGGGTGCCAAGATCCTGAGGCTCTAATCATACTTTTTCAGGTAGTCACCAGAACCAGCCTCTGGCCATTCCCTCATGCCTTTTCTCCTGACCTGGACCTCACAGGATAGTCTGGGAGCAGCCTGATGTTCCATCCCTGCCAGCAAGAATTCAGGGCTAAACTTCCTGTTGTTTTCTGAATAAGGGACAATATCAGAGTGCAGTTAGGTGAATTTTCCTTGGAACTGCTGGTCTTTGCAAAGTGTCACTCCACCTCTACCCATCAGGGCCAAATAAAGTGAAAGCCTGGATTTTCTTGACAACTGAAAAAAGCTCAAGGTTTTGTGCCTTGGGAAAAACAGTTAAGCATCAGTAATGAAGCTTGTAGGGTGTGGGCCAGGCCTAACACATGATTCTGGCTCAGTCTTGGGCTTCTATAAAGTAGAAGTATACAAATGCTGACCCACACAGATGATGGGTCATTAATCCCCTAGGAAACTGCTGTGCTTTACACATGTAAGAAGTCTTTTTGGTTTTGTGTCCTTATTGTAGACAAGGCAGGTGCTATGAAGCAGACAGTACCAACCCCATCCAGACACTACAAGCAATAGCATCACTGGATGCCCTAACTTGCTTTCCCTTCCTGGAGCCTTGCTTGTCCCCAATGTATAATGAACCCTATAAATCTCCACTTTTCTTCACATGAAAATATGGAGCATAATCATTGGCCTTTTGGAATGGGTTCTCTTCCTTTACTCTTTCTTTTTCTGAGGTTTGGATGAGGAACTGAGATAACTATCCAAAATCCTAACAGCTAAAATACTGATTCAACATTAATTGGAAGGAAACTTGTTCTACAACAATTTGTTTCAAAGCAATTCAAGTGCCATGAGGCAGAGCTTGCCTACTGTGGTAGGACTGAAG